GTATAAAAGATATTTATGTAACTTTAACTTTATTCATGCACAATTTCTCTATGTATTTTTGTTCTTCCACCATGAAACCTTGCACTAGAGGTTTATCTACAAATGTTAAAGCTCCAATCTTGTTTTTGAAGAACTCAAAATCAGCTTCATTTGTGAAATGGGCACCTCTCTTTAAGTGTTCTCCAGTTGTTGCTTTATCTACTGCTCGTTGTAGTCATTCTACAGTTCATGCTCCATCATCACCAGTTATTCAATCGGATTCTAATTCAACTGTGCTTCATATTCCTGAAGAAAAATTTGAAGGGGTAGAGAAAACCCTAGAAAAGGTGACATCTTTTTTGCCCTTTAATTTGAAAATTTTCACTTTTTGTGATTTTCTTGAAATTCTTGGGTTGATTTCTTGCAGGTGATTTATAGCTGTCGGTTTTTCGCGATTCTTGCAGTTTGGGGTTCCTTGATTGGATCTTTTCTTTGTTTTATAAAGGTTTAGTCTTTAACCCTTTTGTATTTTGATTATTCTTTTTACTTTGATTATGCACTGGTGTTGAGTTTCATTTCTTGTTGTTAAGTTAAAAGGATGATGAGCATCCCGGTGCAATAGCTCTCGTGCATCTAGGGAAGGGTTGGATCATAAGGGTCTAACTGTACGCAGTCTTATTCTGCAATTCTCCAGGAGGTGTTACCACAATTCGAACCCATGACCTCCTCGTCATATAACAATAACTTTATTAGTAATGTCAAGGCTCCCTTTCAAGTTGTTAAGTTTTACCACAACTTGACCTATGAACTCGTGGTCATATAATAGTAACTTTACCAGTAACGCCTAGGCCCCCCTTCAAGTTGTTAAGTTTAATAGAACTCATAATTTAGCTAGAGAGTCCTTTATCTGGATTGCTGGAGTGAATTAGACTGAACTTGTGGTGTTGTCTATCCCTTTTGTTTTTACATATTTTTTGAACTTTATCTGATGTATGAGACATTCATACATCTCCCTGCTACTACTGTTTCCAATTTTATGTCTGCCACTGCAAGCCTGTGCTGATAAAAAGAAGAGTATGTAATTCAGTGGTTGTTAAGTACAATATTTCTGGATTAATGTCAAAAGCCTCTAGACTTTGATATTTGTCTATGATAAAATATAACCTTCTAATGGTATATTTATGTCCAGAACATACTAGTAAATGATTAGACTAACTTGTTTCTCCATAAACAGGGTTGTTCATGTGTGATTGCATCATTCCAAGGGTACTTTGCAAGCCGAGCTAACGTTATTGTGCATCTTGTCGAAGCTATAGGTGTGTCATTAATTATTACTTGTGTTCCTTCTCGTAAATGTAGTCTATTTATCTTCCTTTTGATCTGATGATTACAATATTGCAGAGTAGCTCCCGATGCACGGTATAGTTTTATGCTGTCTTCCTCCTTGAATATTCATCCTTTGCTCTAATATGTTTTATGATTTCTATCATACCACAATCTTTTAGTTTCAATTTTACTAGTGTAAGAAGTTCTTGACGATGTATTATATTTCCTCTAGATATATACCTGTTAGGAACAGTGATGTTAGTCTTCGGTATGGGTCTCTATGAGCTCTTCATCAGCAATCTTGACAAAGGAAAATCAATGTCAGGGGAGACAACTCCATATAGATCAAATCTCTTCGGCATGTTCACTCTAAAGGTTAGTTTCAGTAATTTGGGAAGTGTTTTTATGAGCTATCTATTTGTGTCAATACTGAGTAGCATATGCACAACTCAGTTTTCTGGTTTTATATGTTGTAGTTGCTCTGAAATTTCTTGCTCTGTGTCGATGCAATTCATTGAGTTACCTACTTTTCAATGATTCTCATGCTATGTTGTTAGTTCTCTTCAAAAGTCTTTATGTCAAATCCTCTATGAGTACTGTGATTTTGGAGTATCTGACACAGGTACAGCAACATTTTGTAGAGTCTGAGCAACATAGATCTCATGCACTTATTAGTACTTGTTTTTATGATCACCAATGTCTAGCTCCTCCAAGTTAAACAGAAAAATCTTCGAAGGAATGAACTCAAGTAGTAGTTATAAATGATGAAAAAGTAAATAGAAAGCATAATACATAAGCACATACTCGAACATGGTCTCAGATGGCAAGTAAGCACTCTAACTTTGAGAGTGCACATCTAGACACTTCAAACTTGGTCATCTAACAACTAAATACTTCAACTCATCCTCACTTCGTCTCAAACAAACTCGACCTGACGTGACACATAAACTTTGGAGGTGTCTAGACGATCGTCATGTAAGTTTCAATGTATAGCAGAAACGAATTGAGATGTCTAGATATGCATACTCAAAGTTGGAATGCTTACTTGCCAGTTGAGTGCTTAAATAAAAACTGAGAGATTTCCATCAAGTAGTCCATTTGGTTCTTTCTTGCTTGAATGATTCTCTCCACACAATGTGACTCTTGCTTTCTACATGTTACTAAATTGCCAGGAACGACCGAGATGGTTGGAAATAACTACTGTGAGCGGGCTAAAAACCAAAATCGGTCATGTTATCGTGATGCTTCTTCTCATAGGTTTGTTTGACAAGAGCAAGAAGGCTGTTATACATTCACCATTTGATCTACTTTGCTTTGCAGCTTCTGTGCTTCTTTGCTCTTGCTGCCTCTATCTGCTTTCAAGACTCACTGATGAGAACTAAGCATTTTATAGATAGTTTGCAGTCTACATTTCCTAATGGAATGCTATGGTATGTTTTACATGTACATATTTCTATGTAAAAAGGGGCAGCCCCGTGCACTACTGCTATGCACAGAGAGTCTGCAGAAGGATCGGGCCACAAGGGTCTATTGTTCCTTTGTATATTACACAAAATGCAACGTATAATATAAACATCTTTTGTGTCAAACGTGGAGCTCTCTTTTATTATCTTCGTGGTATAACTTATCGCGAGATTTATAACATTTAGCTTTTCTACAATAAAAAGTGTTAAAATATCACAATTAGATTCTACTACGGATGTCTCTTAAAAGGTATAAGTCTTAATTGAGGTATTTAGGATGAAATTTCATGTATAAGTCTTAATTGAGGTATTTAGGATGAAATTTCATGTCCACTTTAGACAGTAGACAATATGTCATGTGAAACAACAACCTTTACTATAAATAGTTATTTGTTGTTTGTTGTGTCTCACGTCAGAGGGGAGCTACCATTCTACTACTCTATTTAAGTAGTTTGCAAAATTTAATAGTTTTAGCCTATAATCTCTATTCGTCTTAAAAATACCCTTTTTATGTATATAATCTTATACAAAATCAAGGATGGTTCAATAGAAAATATAACCTAAAGTCGAAATATATTACTATTCCCGTTTAAAAAAGAATGACTTTTTTTTAGTCTGTTTTAAAAAGAGTGATCTCTTCTTCTTTTTTTGTAACATTTTAGCTTCAGTACTCCATGTGACATGTTTATGGTCACGGCGCACAAGATTAAAGGACAATTTTGTACATTTGACATAACTTTAAATTAGGACCATTCAAAAGTCTTTCTTATTTTCTTAAATTTCGTATCAAATTAAACTAAGTCGCTCTTTTTAAACGGATGAAATATTTTTATCCGAAAGATAGTTGATAATTATAGTAGATTTTGTGAATATTCACAAACAACACATTTAAATGTACCATTCAAGTAACTGAAGGTTTAATAATTAATATGCTTCGCAAAAGTCTCAAACAAAGTATTAATTCTAAACCCTTCATTCTTGAAAGAACAATTTTTTTTACTTAAAAAAAATATCATACAATGCTTATATTTGAAAAGAGGCAAAGTATTGTTGGTATATTTTAGCTTTATTGTCTTAAAATCTCATTTAATCATCAAAATATTTAAAAATTATTGTACTCTTCTTCCTTTTTTTTCTAAAAATAGTTTAGAATATCAAATTTTTAACTATAAATAAAGATTCAGATAGTCAATCAACTTATTCTATTTAAGTCTTTTTTTTTTTAATAAAAAAAAGTTCAAAATAGTTATGACAAACTAACTGTAAGCATCCAAATCTAGGGGCCACCATAAATTGGTTTTGTGGAAATTTCATTATCTAAAATACCAAATTCCACAATTTTGTAATTATTATTTTTTGATTTCTTTCTTATTTTGTCTTTTTGCTTTCCAGATCATTTTGCAAAATTGCATCATTCGGTGGCAAATACAGCTCAAATATACATTTAATTATTTTCTGTCTTTGTGCAATTTATCTTATTTCTAAATCTATAACCTGTAATTGAGTAACTTAATATAATTTTTTCCTTTTTCCTTATTTGTACAAGAGAATTTAAACTTCATAGTCATAATTTTTCAAGTTGGTGTGATCATTTAATCAGTTATTATTATCTTTACATAGTTTCTTAGAGTACCTTTAACTCTTTTTCGTAAACAAGCATATAAATATACATATATTTAAAAAACTCGAACTTAATATTTTTATCTATTCTAATATTATATTAAAATATACTTTATTTGTTTGATTATCATCTTCCTAGAAAGAAAATATAGATACATCATAAGAGTAAAAATAATTTAATAATCTTAGTATTTGTTTTTTCTTTAATCATCTTAGTATATACTAATATTGTCTATGTTTTTTTAAATAAAAATATGAACTGAAGAAAGGTGCTTGAAAAAAGGAATTCCTTAATTTCAAAAAAGTACCTTATTTATTACTCCTTCCTAAAAAATAAATTGTCATAATTTTCTTTTACTTCTTTTAGAATTGACCATCATTTTAACTTTAAAATTAATGAAATAATTCTTGAAAAATGAAAACAGTGCAACAATTTTATAATGGAGAAAATCATAAGATCTATTACTACAACTATACAATAAAATAATATAATCTAATTATAGAAAATGTGTGATGATTAACCTCAAATTTTCCCCATCCCCACATAAACCTCTTGAAAATCAAAACATATAAACATTTCCTCACTTAACCATAAAAGTTGCCCCCCCACCCCCACACCCCACCAAAATGTCTCTCTCTTTCAACAAACTTGAAAATCCACTAAAACAGTTAAAGAGTTGACTAGTTGAGTTATTACAAATCAAGAATTGATGCCTATATTTCCAAAAATTTCTACCACCAAACTATATATCCTTTGAGTAATCTTCAAGTTTTCTTTGTAAAACCACTCTTTTTTTCTACTTTTAGTCTTCTTTACTCATTGAAAAAACACAACTCCATAAAAAGAGAGAAAAAAAAAAGTGTTATGGGAAATCATCAATTCATTTATCCAATTTTTATCTCTTTTATCACTACCCTTGGCCTTGTTTCCATCTCTCTATGCATAGCTGCTGAATTCAAGAAAACAAAGGTAAGTTTTTTCATTTTTTCAGTAAAATCTGCGTACATTCTATCCTCCCATACTCTGTTTTTTGGGATTATATCGAATATGTTGTTGTTGATTCATTTTTTTTTCTCAATTGGATTTTTTTGGTTTGATTGAATTTTTTCTTTTTTAATTTGTAGAAGGAAGATCTGAGGTTTGATGGGAAATTGTGTTACTTGCCAAAAAGTGTAGCTTTTGAATTGGGAATTGGAGCTTTAATTTGTTTAATTATAGGTCAAGTGATTGGGAATTTGTTGATATGTAGAAATGTCTTCTCAAAGGATCATCAAAACAATTTAAAGACTAACAAGAAGCCTACCATTATTGGCCTCATTTGTGTTATCTCATGGTAGGTACTCCATCCATTTCTAAAATCAAATTTCTTTTCGAGTTTAAATTATATACATCGCGAATATAAGAGAGAAAACTATTATATACTTAACACATAAGCATTCTTGAGAAAAAAGTAGAAACTACATTTTAAAAATAAGATAGGATATTTGCTATCACGATAATGATGATCTTATATTAAATTCTTTATATTAGTGATATAAATCATTTAATACTTTTATCAGGTCTAAATAAGGGAAAATTATGAAATTTTAATAGAGAAATTCTTATACTTATTCGTTTGATAGAATAGGAATTAGTATTGAAGTGGCAAGGTACGAGTATTGAAGCAGTATGTGCAACATATGTAAATGGATATTTGAACCTAAATTAATTTTAAGAATTTTCTTTTCTTATTTTTATTGATAAGGTTTCTCTATTTTTCTGATGAGAAATAATAGGCGCCCATAAAAGAATTATAAGTTCCAATATCAATTTCTTAAAAGTTCATTGCTACCTTCTATGTTATAGCAAATTAATTTATAAAATATTAGTACCGACTTCTCTTGATGGACATTTGGATAAATTTCTCATCAAAAATATCCTTACCGTCCATTTTTACTCGTTAGAATAACAATTTTATATTATCGGATTTTGAATATAATAAATTTAATATTTTGAGAAATGACTATATTTATTTTTGTAGGATGAGCTTTGTGATGGCAACAATTTTGATAGGAACTAGCATAAGCATGAGCAAAACCCAACCACTTGGTGAAGGGTGGCTGGATGGTGAATGTTACATAGTCAATAATGGTGTCTATATTATTTCAGCAATTTTGGTATTTATAACTTTGAGCACAACACTTGGTCCCCTCATCTTCAAAATAAGAAAGAAGGACCAAGCACAAACAAGTTGAATAGATAAAAGAAAAAATATATATACACAAATAGATGAGAAATTAAAATGCATATAAAGACTTTCTTAGCAAACAACTTTTTTCTTATTCTATTTTTATGATAGAGATAGAGAATCAATGCTCTCCAACCTCCTTTAAAAAAAGCACATAACATCCAACTTCCATATACAAATGTGTTATCTCTCATTTCTTTTTATTATATATTCAGATCGAATCTCAACTGACTTTATGAAGTACATATTACCTCCTACGTGTCAACACCCCTCACTCTCTGTTTTGGGGGTGGGGGGGTGGAAGGAAAAGGAAGTGAAGAACTATGTTTTATGTGGTCCCTTTTAATATAAAAGAAAAAAATGGAAATGCACACTTTTTTTTTCTTCCCCTACACACATGGTGGTGATGTGTTATAAATTGCAAATTAGTACATGGAGTCAGAAAATGCACGTGGCCAGCAGAAAAATCCTCCACCATCTCTGGAGACATTTGTCAATATAAAAAACTTGTCTAAGAATATCTTTCTAACAAAAAAAAAAGCTAAATTAGGGGACCAGTTCCTCTCCAAGAATCCTGTTCGTATTCACTGAATACGACCATATATATGTAATTATTTATACAAAAGTGTCTACTTATGTTTTTAAATACTGAAGAGAAGACAAGTTCATTTCCTCAGTCTAATTTGAGATAAAAGAACATAAAATCTTGATCTGACGAGATAACAAGTGAACTGATTGAAAAACTCTAATCTCCACCGGGCTCGCTGGACCAAAAAAAAAAATGAACCAGCCATGAATAACGATTCCTAATACACGTGCAACTGTAGTAATTGGTAGTTTGGTAACATTTGGTATAGAACTCCTCGGCAAATGTCATAAACTAGCGGGAGATTTACTCTGCCATTGCGTTGAGTACTGCAGAAAACGACATAACCAGACATCACGCAGAACTCCAATGAATATGTTACATCCTCATGTGCGCTCCTCCACGGCCCCTACCACCATAGTTATTAAACCCCCTTCCCCAACCATAGCCATATGCACCACGGTGCCCACCATTTCCAGGCCCATAGCCATATGCACCACGGTGCCCACCATGCCCAGGCCCAAAGACACCATTCGCATAAGGCCTTTGTTGATGGTTACCGAAAGTCTGGAGGCAATAACAAAAAAGGACCGACTTGTTAGTTACTGTCACTAGTGTGTAATAGTAATTGATCAAAACTCAGTGAATATTTAGTTGAGGGGTAGACGAACCTCACTATCCTGCCTCATCCTCTGAGAAATGCGATTCTGTCCATTTCTACCTCCACGAGCAACTGTATTGCGGGATATATTATCAAAGAAGTCATCTTTATTATAGGCAGGCTGCGCAGAAATCAGAAGGAGAATTAGGTGATCAAAAACTTAAATCGCTTATGGCAATCATATTATATGAGTAATACGACTCGAAGGCTGGTAAAGAGGAATACAATGCAAAATAACATGTCGATAATTCGATTATACGTGTTGAAAATGCTTGACACCTACTTTGGGATCGGCATTAGAATCCAAGCCATGATCTACTTCATTCCCCTTGTCCTCATTGACCAAAGCAATATCCACGCCTTCCATCTTTTTAGCTGTTTGCTTTGCTTTTCCTAGATAACCCCACACCTCATCTTTGTTGAACTTCTCATTCATTGCAACAAAATCAAACTCTTCGGTAAACTCTGAAGATGATTGCAACTGCAAAAGTTCAACACAAAAATAAATTCATAAGCTAGATGGTCTCGAAATTGCTGCCAAAGGCAGGAACATATTTTGACAAGGAAGAGACATTTATAAAGCAAAGGTAATTTGCATTGTTACAGAAACATCGTTCGTTTTGGAACACTTTTAGAAAGTATGGATCTTCAAGTCCCTAAACTTAATTGATAACAGAGACTCTTAAAGAAGCTATGTTTGATGCAATTACCACCCTTTAGGTATCATGCGTGAAGAATGCAGGAGTGTTACTATAAGTTAATTATTCTCGTTTAAATGTAAGACCTGGCATCCAGTGGACTAGCCACGACAAATCATAGAATAAGGCAATTGAACTACATAAGGGCAGTAATGGTTCTATATCAATAATTACAGTAAAAATTCAACCAGACACTGGTCAAAAAAATGAAGAGCAAATAACCTTCTTCGCAGCAGGTGGCAGTGGCAACAATGGCGCTTGGACTGCTGAAGTAGTAAATGATAACGAGGGATTCTGAGGTTCTGAGCTGAGAACACCAAGGTCCTTCTGATCTAAATATAATTGCCCAGAAAAACTAGGTAGAGATAACTGATCCGGAGTTAGCAATCTGGGGGGTTGTTGTGGAAAGACACCTGATGAGGAATCTACAACTGGGGATAAAGGATATAAAGGTGAAGCATTAGAACCTATTCTAGAAAAGATTGGGGCACCAGAGTTACCCACAGTTTGACTAGATTGGGGAAATGCAGGAGTATATGCATAAGAAGACATGGAAGAGGTTACAGATAATAAGGGAGATCCAATGTTAGTAGTGGGAGCCATAGGAAGTTGCTGTGGTGCAAGACCTTGTCTGCTAGTTAAAGATAAAGAATTTGCAGTGGTAACCACAGGCACTGGAGCTACGCTTTTTGGTAGAATAGCTGAAGTGAAATGTTCAGGGCCTTGGAGTGGGTAAGCCTGCTTCAAATCCTGCATCATCACATGTGAAGCAGAAGGTGGAAGAGAATGTTGTGGAGCATGGTGACTGCTAGAGGGTTCACTGTATCTTTGCTGGTAAGAGGGAGCATAAGAACCCATGTTGGATTGAGTTGCCTGAGAAGTGCCATATTCAGTCTGGTTTACCGATTGATGCAAAGGTGGCACACTATTCAAGGAAGCAGGTCCCTTGTAAGAGCCATATTCAGTAAAAGATCCACCATTAAGTGACACCGATTTTGAAGAGCTTGGGGAGACTCCAGCATAGCGTGACTACAGAAATCAAAATAGCATTACATGAGTGTGGAAGAAAAATAAAATCTAGCAACTACTGTCAGATTTTTTGGGTACATATTATCAGCATAATCTCCCATGCAAATTTTACAATAGATAGTTTAAGGCATAATCTATTGCGAATAAAGCAGATTAAGCACCTGAATAATTGCAGGATCATTATCCAATGATTCTTCCACTTGAGGAGATGGTGAGGATTTTACTTGCAAATCCTGAAAGGGAAGATATTTTTCTTAGAATCAACCTTCAAAGGCAAAGAGAGAAAATGCTGATCTTCTGACTAAAAGGAAACCGATAACACAAAATCAGTGAAGCACAAAATTTACGATAAATTGATGCAATGAAGTCACTCCAATTGGTCATTGCAAGGACAACAACCAGGTAGACTTCTTGTATGTAACCTCCTTCCGTTAATTGCCCCACCACCACCCACCTTTTAGGAGCAGAGTGTTATTTTAAGAATGGGAAATAATTTTTCTTAACTTTTTTTTTTTGAGAAAGGTAACAACTTGCATATATAGCAAAAGGCGATAGTGCCAGCACTTGGGTAGTGTTGAAATGAGTAGTTACAAGCTCATATAAGAGCCAAAAGGAGACTGTCCAGAAATATAGAGCTGCAATATTACAATTTACCTACTTTGATCTATCAAATCCCTTGTTATCCCCAAAAAGATTGTGTTTACACCAAAAGCAGAAGAGACTAAGACGCTTCATCCCAATTTTGTGAATGGAGCTGCTTGTATTTTCAAAAATTCTTGAGTTTCTCTATCCAAACTATCCAGCTTATGCAAGCTGGAATTAATTGCCACTAATTCTCACCTCTATATCTTTTTCCAATCTACTTCCAGTTACTAAGTAGATCAAAAGTGGTTCTGGTATGACCCAGCTGATACCTAGGATACAAAAGAACATGTCACATAAAATTGTTGTTTATCTTGTGACAAATTAATAGGTGCTCATTAGTCTCCCCATTCAGTCCATATAGAGAACGCTTTGAGCATCTGGAAACCTCTTCTTCATAATTTATTGTGTGCTCACCAGCCAGGTAATACAAGAAACCTTGGGAGGGATATTGACTTTCAACTCAGGGTCAGGACCAAAACACTGTTATAGAGGCATTATAGTTTAGATTCCAGCACACAGATGTAACAGTGAAGATTTCTTCGCTTTTCAGCTTCCAACTCGGTTTGTCTAGAACTTCAGAAGTCATCTTGAAAGCTTCCAGAATGTGTAGCAAGTTTGCTACTTAGTTGAGTTCCCCGTCATTTAAAGATTTCCTAAAAATCAGGTTTCATTTGTGTTGCCCATACCTGGTTAACCTTTGGTTGTGGTCGCATGATAATAGAGTACAGTTCAGAGAAGAGGTTCTCTTTAGAGGACTTTGACCCGTCAAAATATCATCCCAAAATCAGTTTTTAGGCCATTCCCAACCTTGACACGTGTTTATTTAAAGCTGGTCATTGATTCCTGATTATTCACCATAAGATGATAGTCTGATACCATATGTGGATCTACTTAGCACTTGCTAATGTTGTCCATAGGCTTGGCATAACATACTTTTGGGAGATGAACTTTCTCCAGATTGTGTTGTCTTCAAAATTGGATCTCCATAACCATATTTGGAGAAGACTCTGATTGTGGAAACTGAAGTTCCTAATGCCCAAACCTCCTTGCTTCTTATTGAGAGTTAGTTTTTCCCATTTCAACAGGTTCCAGCTTCTTCTTTGTTTGTTGTCTTGCCAAAGGAAATCTCTTCTCAACTTATCAATCTTTTCCTCCACACACCCGGGAATAGGAAATAAACCCATCATATAAGTTGGGAGAGCATCTAGTTTTGAATTCACTAGAGTTAGTCTTCCCCCTAATGACAAGTAGTGGCTTTTCAGTCTTGCTAATTTTTTGTCACATCTTTCAATTACCTCATTCCAAATCTAATCTCCTTAGATTAGCTCTTTGCACCAACTGGCATCCTAGATATCTAATTGGTAGGGATCCCAACTGACAGTCTAGATTTCTAGCAAGTGCATTGAGCCCATCAACAACCTGATTAACTCGATAAAGATAGCTCTCAATCCAGTTCATAGG